CAATAATTTCAATATAAAATATTTTATAATTGGCTTCAACTTACATAATATAATATTTCAGATAAATTTTTACCTTCCCACATGCCACTAGGCTAAATCACATCTGTCCATCCTTACACTCTTAACAAGTAAACTAAATCACATTTGTCCATCCTTATACTCCCAACAAGTAAAATAAACAATTTAGTCAATTTTCAACACAAGCCAATTATTTGGCCTCATAATCATGCCATTTTAACCAATCCAAAGTAAATCAAATATTAAAATTACAGTCATCCAAAGTATACCAAAAATAAAAATAGTTTGAAAGGCATGATTACATTTATATATTCATATAATTGTCAATAAACAAAAAGCTCTAATATTGGCAATATAACACATTATAAATCATAAATCAAATACCCAAAAGAGACAGTGGATCTATGCCACTAAGCCTCTGGGACTCCTCCACGTGTCACTCGTGGCTCTTCTCCTGAAAATTGTTAACCACATAATGAGACTCAAAAGTCTCAGTAACCAAAGCCAATTTATGATGGTGTATACAAACAGTTAAGTGTGTGCTTACTAAGTGAGAATTAAAAATAATATAATTCCAACAAAATATAAAAAATATTACAATATACATAAACAATCATCCTTATATCCCTCCATTAACCTCGAGCCGTAGCCCTCACTCGGTGCTAAATTACCCGGTCAAAGGTAGATTAGCCCGAGCCCTTACAAACCACCTATTGAGCTCCAATAGGGGCGTACCACGTGGCACATAAAATACAACAACAATAGCAAGTCTCCCAACACGTCCCACAATAATCAAACAAATTCATAATAATATTGCACAATTATACAATATGACAAAATTTATAATTTTCTCAATAATCACCCAATTAACATGAAATAACACTAATCACAAATTAAAAGCATGGTTACCTTGTGGCTTTTTCAATAAATTATTCCTTACAATTTCTCTCCCACACAATCTTCACCAATAATACAATCTACAAATAACATATTATTTATAAATATTAGTTTCAATTTTTGAAACTAATAAAATAATTCTAATAATAGAATTAAAAATATAACATAATTCCTAATCTCAATCTTAATACAAATCTAGAGTTAATACTATTAAGTAAAATTTTTAACTCCTCTTTTAATTATCAATAAACATTAATAATCTAAAAATCAACTTCTAAACTAATTTCTATTATCAAAATTTTATTTTTATTTCATAAATTCGCACCTAAAATATCCAAAAATTAAAAATTGAGTCTCTAGCTTAGAATCATAATCCTATAGCCATAATTTCTCATCCCAAATAATCATCTAAACCTTAATAAATCAACATATATTTTCAGATAAAAAAAATCTAGTCTATGATTTGATCCATAAGCCATAAATTCAAAGATCATCAACAAATTTATACTCTAGAACATTTATTATACTACTAACAACCTCAAAAACTATATTTATTCAACATAAATTCATCCCTCTTTCAAATTTTAAATTTTTCACCATCACAAAATCAGAAACTAAAGGAGCTAGATGAATAAGAAAAATTTTCAAAACACTTATTTAATCTTGAAAAGCTTGAAATCTCACCCTAATTATCCTATTAGGAAGTCTCACCTTTAAAACTTAAACACGCTGCGTCGATGAACTCGCTCACAGTCGCTTGCTCTGTTTGTGCGCGGAAGAGAAGTGAGAAGAGAAGGAAAATGAAAGGGAAGAGGACATTTGTTGTTTTTTTTTTTAAAAAACATGTGGGCCCTACATTTTTTTTTTGCTTTCCTTTCCTTCTTTTTATATATCTATGTACATCGCACTTACGCCGAAAGCTCCATTCCTCCTCCTCTCTTTTTTTATTATTATTATTTTATATGTATGATCATTGCATGCGGACGCACCGAAAGCTGGTCTCTTTTTCTTCTTTCTTTCCTTCCTCTTTCTCATACCTTTTCTTTTTTTTTAATAATAATAATAATAATTTAATTAATTTTTTTAATTAATTAATTATATTTTTTTATTTTAGAATTATATCCTAAGTTAGATTTAATAATCATCTCCTACTAATTTGCTTACCTCTAAACATATTTTTTGTAAATTTTATTAACCCAAATTAACTATTAAAATTTAAATTGGGATGTTATAATTTTCAATTAGGAATAATTCAATTGTTACTTACTTGCATTACACATTTTGTTAAATTGTATAGTGTATTTTAGGCCTTACGGTGTATGTGTATGGATTATAAGATCTATAACAAGACCAAAATATTAGTGTAAGTAAGAGTCATGTATGACAGGTAAATTGTGTTGATTATTTGATGACATGTAAGATTAAAGCTCCTTCTTTTATTTTTGAGATCAAGGAATTGAGCAATAAAAATGTATTTTGTAAGTATTGTTAGTGATGTGGTGCGTTGCAATGGTCCTTTTAATCTATTGATTATAAGCTGAGTGTTGTTTTTGGCTTTTGGCTTTTTGTATGAGTTTTGAATACTTAAGTATTGTGTAAATGGTGAAAAAGATGAAAATTTAAAATGAGTGTTCAACTTTCTATTGAGAGATAATTTTATTGTGAAATCAAAGCCAATAGCTGAGTCAAAAGAAAACTCTCTGTAAACACTTAAATTATGTCAATCGATCATCAAAGGAGAAATGAAACATGTTAGAAGTTGCCTTGAGTGTTGTCAAATGACAGCAAATTTTGCCATTAAAAAGTGTGCAATGTGCTGTTACGTATGACATAAAAGCTCACAAGCTATGATACATGCCTTATATTCTGCACTATTTCACTATTTTTATATTTTAAGCAAATGTGTTGATTCTTTTTATGATCCCATGCTTCCACACATAAAATAAACTTTGATATTCAGTTTTAAAAATCCTTCAGGATGTTTTAAATTATTAAAAACATGAAATTCCATTTATAAATTTGACAAACTTAGTAATTGTTATCGGGTTTAGACCCTTGATTACCTTGTCTTTGGAATTAATGATAATTAGAGTAGGGAGATTACGAAAATATAATAAAAATTTTAAAAAAATCAATTTTGCAAATAAAAATCAATAAAAATAGTATAAATATAAAAAATAAATTGAAAAATATAAATAATTCCTGCTTTTTAAAAAATCTATACAAAATAAAACTTTTTCATAAAATTTTTAAAATATAGAAAAATTACTTATTTTTAATCTTAATTTTTTCTCACAAAAATCACTTATTTTTTTTAAAAAATACGTTTTTAAATTTTATGATATTTATTTAAAATTTTAAAGATAATAGTTTTCAAAAAATAAATTTGTGATTATTTTGATTAGTTTTTGAAAATAATTTGTTTTAGTCGATGGAAGAGAATCCTATAAAATGTGAATGTAAACCAAAATATCATAAAAATTTAAAAATTATTTTGTAAAAAAAATATACAAAAATATTATAAAATCTAAAGAATAACTAAATAATAAATTTTAAAAATACAAAATAATGCATTCTTTTTATAAAATATTTAGAAAATAAAACTCTTTTTTATAATATCTCTAAAATATATAAAAATTATTTATTTTTAATCTTAGGATTTTGTTCACGATAAAACACTTATCTTTTTTAAAAAATTATTTTTAAATTTTATACTATTTTTTTAAAATTTTAAAAATAATAGGAGTTTTCAAAAAAATAATTTTTTGATTATTTTGATAAAATATTTTGAAAATAATTTGACAATAAAAATGAGAAAAAACGCAAAAAATATTATAAAATTTAAAAATAATTAAATAATAAATTATTTTTTTTACAAAAAGAGAACCATGAAGATATCACAAATTTTAAAAATAGATAAATAATAATCAAATTTTATTATTGTAACCAAATATAAAATAATTTTTTTTTGTAAAATTTCTACAAAATAAATACTAAAAATCTTAACTTGTCCTATGTGAAACTAAGAAATATCTCCTAATTAATTTATTTACTTTTAAATAGTCTTTCAAATTTTTATTAACTCTAATTGGTTCTAAAAATTTAAATTAGGATGTTATAAGAGGCCAACCACAGAACTTTTTTTTTTTTTTTTGCGTCACTCTGTGAATATAAAATGAACAGACAAAGAGATACTCTCATTCACTTACATAATTAGTTGCAAGGATGGTGTTGATGATCTTCTGTTTAATTTGACAGTTTTTAACCCTTTGATGCTGTCATGCAAGAAGGATGTCGTGTCAATATTGTGAAAGAAAAATGACACAATAATTTGGAGGTAGCATTGTCAGAGAAATGAACTGCAGACAAATTGGCTTGAGTTCGAGATTATGATAACGAAGACAGTTGCTTATTGTGACAAGCTGCTTAAGCATTGCACTTTGTATCACTAGAAAATTGCAGGTGAAACTTGAAAGCACATCTCTGGTGAAAGTTTATGAAAAATCATGGCATACGTTTTAAAATATGCATGCATTATCATTTTGCATCAATGTGAACAAATTAAAAAGGGTAAATGTGCAATTTTGTTTCTTAAGTATTTTTCAAAAAGTACTCAACATTTTAAACCATTTAGTGTAACATTTTTATCTCTAAAATAATTAAAATATAACATTTTTCATCGTAACATTAAATATTCATAAACATCCATTGGACAGTCAAATTACTTTTTTTCAGATCATATTAACAATCATCACCCCAAAACTCAACTGAAGTCTCGGACTCGAAAAACACCACCAAACCAATCATTGCTCAAATGATGTTCAAATTTGATCTATAAAGGCGCCTGACGAACAATATTGCAAATATAAAGAGGTTGAATGTATTTGCCATACCGATCTTTCAACTTTTATATATCCAGAGCCTCAGAATGAAGCATACATCCACACGCGGTTCTAAAAATTTGAATGCATGCCTCATCAGAATCAAAGGCACTTGAATCTCACTTCTGTATGTAGTACGCAGGTCAAGTGTGTCCATAATAGTTCATACTCTTAAGGAGATACGTATCAAATAACATATATTATTTACACATAAGGAGTTGCAGTTGCCAAACTATTCAACGTTTCATAAATATCCTCTGTTTTAGGATGTGATATATCCCCAGAAATGAACCCTTGCATAACCCCTTTTACTTCAATGCAGCTCCAGCCTGGTTTCCTCTTCAGATTTTTTTCACTCATAACTCTCCTCAGTCCTTCAACTTCATCCCATCTTCCAGCGCTTGCTTTGACATTACTCAACAGAGTATAATAACCAGCGTTGTCAGGTTCTAATTCCAGAAGTTTCTGTGCTGCATATTCCCCAACTTTTTCGTTTCCATAAACTCTGGAGGCCGCTAGAAGGGCACCCCAAATCCTGCTATCAGGTAGGATAATCATTTTCAGTATGATGGATAAGGCTTCTTTAAGCAAACCATGTCGACCCAAAAGATCCACGAAGCAAGTGTGGTGATCTAAAGCTGGTTCAATACCGAAATCCCATTTCATGGAACCATAAATTTTGCAGCCTTCTCTCACAAGACCAGAGTGGCTGCAAGCAGATAATAAGCTTAAGAAGGTGACAGAGTTCGGCCGAACTCTTTGTTCGATCATTAATATGAAACAGTTGAGGGCTTCATAGCCAAAACCATGGGACCCAAATCCCTCAATCATAGTTGTCCATGCTACAACATCTTTGCTCGATAACCTATCAAAGTATGCTCTAGCTGAAGAAATGCTACCGCTTTTTACATACATGTTTAAAATGGAGTTTTCCAGTTGTGCAATGTCTTCCTCAATTCCATTAAACAAGTTCTTTAAAAGGTAACCATGAATTCCTTTGCCTAATTTCAGAGCACCAAGATTGGCGTATGCATCAACTAGATTTCTCCAAATTACAGGATCAGGATCAGGATCTGTAGCTTGCAAGTGCTGGAATAGAGTTATGGTCTCCATAAAATGACCGTTTTGAATAAAACCTGACATCATGGCACTCCAAGCAACGTTACTCTTATATTGAATTGCTCTAAACAATTCAACAGATCTTTTCAGTTTCCCGCATTTTGCGTAAAAATCGAGCAAAGAAGTTAGCAAAATATCATCAGATAGTCCTGTTTTAATAACTAAGCAATGGACGCTTTCACCCTCAGAAAGACTACAAGACTTTGCAATTGCTGACAAAACTAGGGTTAAAGTCTGAATGTTCCATGAAAACTCTTCACTGTGCATCTGTTTGAAAATGCAAGCTACTTCCGTGATATCTCCTTGCATTTCATGAAAGGAAATTAAAATGTTCGAGGAAACAACGTCTTTTCTGTGAATTTCACAGAAAACGATTTCCACGCAGTCAGTATTCCCTATGTTAGCATACATGCCCAAAACAGCATTTTGCACTGAAGAATCCACTGACAATCCGCTCTTTATGGCATACCCATGAATTTGACTTCCATCCTTCAGAGTTCTAGAGGTACAGCATGCTCGCAACATGACAAGTAGAGTCACAGAATTCGGTTCCAATTCCGTCCGCATTTTGTTGAACAAATCAGACGCGACACTAACATGTCTCTCGGAAATATATCCAGAAATCAGAGATGTCCAGGAAACCAAATCTCTATGAGACATAACATCAAACAAGTTACGTGCAGAAGCGACGCACCCGCATTTCACGTAAACTTCAATCATGGTATTGCAAAAATATAAATCCATATCCAGACCAAATTGAATTGCTTGACAGTGGATCATTTTTGCAAACACGACATCAATTCGGGTGGCAGATAAAGCCAGGTTTATTGTAGGAAAAGTAAACGCATCATGGAGAACCTCCGCTGCTCTCATCTTTTTGTACGATAAAAAAGCCGCATGGAAGAGTCCCAAATTAACCTGGGACTTAATGACCAAATTCCACATCTTTGTGCTTGGTTCTTCCCTTAGTGTTCCGAAAATCCCAAGGACACTGCCCAGATCATGGAACCGAGCATACAAGTTTACGAGCTGCGAAGCAACGGATTTAGATACCAATGCATCTGAGACAATAAGATAGGCGTGGACTTTCTTCACAGAGCAAAGATCCTCGCATGAATGAAATAGCAGATGAGGAAGACAGGCTGAAGCAGAGAAATAGTGATACCGGAGTTTCAGATTATGGATGGGAAGTAGAAGAGGAAATGCAGAGGAAACAGGAAAAAAGTGGAAACGCTGGAGGACATTAGGAAGGAGAGGAATATTGAAAGGAGTTAAAGCAGAGTGATTTGTTGTGAACTCTGGGGCAATTAAGTTGATTTGAACCTGAGACTTCGAAAGTAATGCAAGATATAGATTTGCCTGGCTCTAGTCAAATTCACCGAACGTGCCTCTGTGTCTTCCTCGTCTGGACTCGCATGCATGTTACTGTTACTTAAACAGTTAAACCGGTGGTGGACAAATCCCCGTCCCCTTGCCGAAATTCACAAATATTTTGAATATTTGCTCCTATCGCTTCTAGGAACTGGTTTCCTACTCTGTTTAAGAATGAGCACTTGGGATGAAGTCTACCCAGATTTTAATTCGAAGAGTGTAGATTTAAAATATTATTATATATTATTATATTATATTTATTACAATAAAAATTATAAAATAATTTTAATAAATTTTTTATTTTTAATCTAATTTATATTTAATTTAGACGATTCAATTTAACATTAAAATTTTTATAATTAATATATATTAATTATTCAGATGTACTTTGCACATAAAAATGGAGTCAAAAATTTTTATTAAAGGAGGCCGAGATGATAAAGTATACATGATAATTAAAAAAATTTAAAAAAAAATATATATATATATATAACACCAATATAATATAAATATTTTAACACGTGTATTTATATTCAATTACACTTATATATAACAAAATATATAAATTTTAAGTTTTGATATCAATTTTTTATGATATAAAAATAATTAGTTATTATGCTTATGATAAATGTTTTAACAATTTTTTTTTCAATATAAATTATCATTAAATTGATAAAAATTTTATCATCCCTATTAGCATTAAGTGGTTTAAATATATTATTAAAATTTAAAGTTTTATTCAATGTAATAAGCTTTGTTACTTGCTTATTAAATTTACTATTTAATTTTTTTAATTGATAATCATAGTAAATAAATATATTAACACATTAATAATGTTTAATTTTTATAAAATTTTTATATCAATGAGATCAAATTATATCAGAGTAAAAATCATTCGTATCATACATTTCAATAGCTTGATTATTTTTGAAAAAGTAATTTTTGTCTAGAAAAATATTTTCACCAAATCTCTTAACTTTTGGATAAGTGATTTTATGATAAAGATCAAGCACATAGCATTTAAGATAACTTAAAATTTTTGTTGCAATGTTAACAAAGTTTGTTAATAATAATTCTTATAATTTCTTTCATTAAATTAAAATGAAAACAAAATAAAATGATGTCAATGTTTTAAGAGCACGTGTAGCATTATTTTGTTAAAAATAAGTAAATCCTATAATAATCGTATCTTTAAATTAAAAAAATAGTTGATCTATACATATGTAAAAGATTATATATAGAATTAAAATAAAAATTTCATTTAGTGTTTCATAACTTCTATAATATACCAATTCATGAAAGCTGAAAATATATAACCTCTATATTTTACTAAAAAAAAATTAAAAAGTTAGGAGAACTATGGCCCTTGCTGGTCTCCCCTCTCTCCACTCCTGATTGCACAGTCCAAATAAAATACACATCAATTATAAAAATCTAGACAGTGTAGAATACATTGGGATAATTAATATACATCAATTATATAAATTTTAATATTAAATTGAAATCTCTAAATTTAAATCTAGATCAAATTAAAAATAAAAAATTTATTATGACTATTTTATAATTTTTATTTTAATAAATCTGAATTGTTTAGATCAAAATATGGATGGTCCAAATTTCATTTCAAATAATGAATGAGCGGAAACCGATCCCCGGCTTCTATAATTTTGAGTCCTCTTGAATCATTTTCAAATTTTTCCTATAATTTTTACACTTCATACATTTTATGTCCCACTGGCCTGGGATCTTGCGTCCGGCGACTGTGCATGTATATGAATTAAATTATTTATTAGTAAAAGATCTGGACGCAAAAGCTACGTGGTATTCAAATACTATCCTGTGGAGTTTATTTCAGCATTGGAAGAATTTATATGGAAATATAAAAGATGAGATGGTGTGGAAGGGCAGTTTCTTCCCACTTCCGAGTGAAACCAAAACGAAGGAATTTAAAATTGTCCTTTTTTTTATATTATTGAAACTGCATCAGCTGCTTGAATTTATCATCATAAATGTTTGCACAAGATTAACATTGTATTTGTGTTAGAGTATTTGAATTTAAATTTTAAGTAAAATTCATTATTTTAGATAAATAAAATTCATGGATTCAAATTAAATTTAAATCCAAGTAAATTTTATAACCACAAGTCTTTAGAATTTTAAATATATACTCTAACTTAATTTTTTCAAATGTAAGCAAACTCATGAAATTCACAGTCAATCTTTCTCATTACTTTCAGCTTGTGTTGTCCCAAGCTATTAAAAATTAAATTAATCATTAAACTGGTTAAAATTAGGGGTTAGGGTTAAAGGTTTAATCAAAGTTGAATCAGGAGTCAAACCAAATATAATCAAATAAAATGATTTAAATGAAAACATATTAATTTTTAAAATATCATTCAAGACTTTTTTTGGCCAAAGGAATATTATTCAAGACTTAATTTATTATATAAGGCACCGTCAATATTTATATGAAAGTTAAATATTTTAAAAAGTAATATATATAATTATATTTATATGAAAATTAAATATTTATTTAAACATCAGCTACCTATCACTGACATTAAATAGAGTGAGTGACTGTTGCTTATATGCTCACAGTGCTTGGGGTACGTTAATATTTGTGCAAAAGAAGGAATCAAATCATCACCCACACAACACAAATGTATCCATTGGGTTTTGCAACTTCAAATCATTACTCGACCTTCTTGAGTTCTTTTCTCGTTACATCTTCTTCATGAAGGCATTTTACAGGCAAATAGAGGTCACTTTTCAAAGCGAGACCCATGATGCTCGAAAACAGCTTGCTGGTCAGGGACGACGGACGAGAAGTGGTGCGATGGTCACTTGTTAAGGATGAGTGGATGATGGATGACGAATTGAGAGGCAAGAACGCCGCACAAGAAGAGGAAGATCAAATAACTGGAGAGGAACATCGAAGCAAAATTGAAAAGGTTTAAAAAGTATGCATTTCAATTTTTTTTTTTTTATTCAGCCCGTCCAACCCGCTTTAGTCTTGAATTTGGGCAGATTAATTCAGGTTAATCTCGAGTCATTTAAGTATGCTGGGTCAAACACGCAGCTGGGTCGTCGATTCACCGGTCCAACCACTAGTCCTGTTTGGTTTTAAAATCAATAGTTGCCCCCATCCCTGTCTTTAAAATATTATAATTAGAAAAATTAAGTTCAAATTAAATATATAAATTTAAAATTTAAAATTTAAATTCAAATCTATCTAAAACCATTCTAATGTATTTGGCTTTTGGAATAATTGTATCAGTTAAAAAGTCAAACGCCATGTATGAAACAAGGATCAATCCCAGCGCAATAGAAGCACAGAAGAGCAATTCAAAATTAAATGCGGTGCAGCAAGCCCTGCCCAACAAATAGCGACATTTGATCTTCACTGGGATAGAAACAGGAAAAATGGGAAAGACAATATTCAACACGTTATTCAAAATTAAAGTAGTTTGTTTCACGCACCTCTACAGCAAGGACAATCATCTAAATAACAGTCAAAAGACAAAGCAACAATCTCCCATGAAAGTTCAGTAACAGTTCACTCTATGGTCTTACAATCTGAATCAATCAATCACCTCATAGATGAAGCATTGGATTGAATGACCCCTATAGTTAGTATAAATAGTAGTAATAATATTAATATTTCTTTTAATAAGAATAGCTTGCCAATTCTTCTTCCTGGTTGAGGAAATTCCCAGTTTCCGACTGACAAATAGAAGACACGGAAACCCTCCTGAATGTGGATGCTTCTCAAATCACCGCTAACTGCTAATTCTATACTTTGTATATACACTACTTTTTCTACCAGCTACTAGTACAACTTCTATGCGGCCTTCAGAGCTCCATCTTCAACTGATTTGAGTGTAGAGATGCTGTATCACAATATAAATTTTCTGTTTAAAAGATGTCCTTCTCAATATGTTTCTGACATGTTTAGTTAAAATTAAATTGCTCTTGTATTGTTCATGATTACAAAATAAGTCCTTCCCAGCAATTTATAGCTTCATACAATAATTTAAGTGAAGACAGCAAATGGTTCCAATTTCTGTAGATTTGTATTAGCTCAATGCCAATGGCAATAAGAAAGATGAAGTTAGAACTAGAAAAGCTTCTGTGGATTGTCTTTAAGACGGCCGCATATGCAGTAAAAGCTTCAACCAAGAACTTAAGACATACCTGAATTTGCTGATGAGTCATAACTCAGAAAAGAGTTATCCGGAGTGATAAAATTATGGTTTGCTTCCTCTCTTCCCCATAGTGGTTGGTGGAATGCATCAACTTGCCACTGTTGTTGATATTGCTGCCTGTTTCCATTGACTGGGATTTCTGGCCACATCAGAGGTGCAACCGTGCTGGGGAAGTTACAGTCCATGAGAGATGCACCCTATTACGAAGGAGAATTGTCAACCAGTGTAAAATTAATTAAATTTCAGGATCAACTGACCCTATTTAAAGGTACAGGCACAATGACTTTAGTCAGAGTTACGAAGGATTTGTAAACAGGTCAGATTCAGGAAATGGAGAGCAACCTCTCTGTGTGTGTGACTGCAGAGCAAGCTTTAATCTGCTCGGTTGACACTTACATTTATGAAACACTCAATTTCTTTGTAGGTCTAGCACATCTTACAGAGTGAATAGAATCACAATATTTAACTACAAACATTTTCTTTCATTTACACCACAGCACGTCACCATTCGAAAATTTTGAACAAGAAAGCATATAAAACATAAATACAATTAGATAGGACAATCATCACATAAAAGTTAATTTTTTTGCTTTGGTTAAAATCACATTTTGATTTCTCTTTCCAGGGGAGGGGAAGAAAATCAGCTAAGAATGCAAGATCTTCTGATTCCATTCCACTTACTTCATATTCCTTCCGTTTTTTATTGTTAGAAAAACTATTATTTTTTACTTGTATTTTTTTATAAGCAAAATCACCGATTTGAATAAACATTTATTACACATTTCCTAAATCACCCCTCATAAATTACATTTATGAAAAATGATTAATGTATACTTATGTTGATTAATACAGGGCATTTTAGTCTAACTATTTTATTTTCAAATATAATTAGTATAGTTAATCAATTTCTTAAACTATATGATACAATTTTTTTCCCTTATATATAGAAATGGAGGGAGTAAAGCGAAAAAGATAAATTAAAAATAGCACCACATGACTTCACTAAACAAAAACAATTTAACGTAATTCCTAAAATCGAAAAGGTCGTAGAGGAAATGAGGTAAATTATTACTTACTTCTGTAGCCAATATGCTGTCAAGGTTGAAGTCAATTCTTGGATTAACCGCAGCCAATTTCATTGATAAGAACTGAAATCAGAGAGCGACTCAATCAGCAGGAGATCACGTTGATATTAGAAAACTTAAATTTCACTAAATTGCATCATCAACACCAACATCCTCATTCTTCCCAATCTTCTACTATTTATTACACGTTCGGTATCAGTTCAGTTTCCATGCAAATTCAGCCTGACAAAATGATGTTTCAAGAAAACATTTTCGGCAATTTTTCTGCCATTTTATATCTTCATGTATCAACACTGAACTGAGCAATGCACAATTCTAGGAGTCTGCCATTTCAAGCCACAAGTCCACAATGCAGGACTTGCTATTGAATGAAACTCACTTTCATTTCCTTTGAAGAAAATAATTCAAGGCAGATGGTAAATCATTAAGTCAAAGAAGAATAAAACCGGGACTGCTTAAAGATTTAGGGCTTATAGGTAAGTAATATTTCCGTGTGTTTTCATTGAGTGGGTCAGGACCACCAAAATATTCCAAAGCCTCATAGAAGCTACACAAACTGTCGATTTTGAGAGCTCAGAAGAAAAGGACACGACGTAACCCTTATCCACTGCTATATTCAGTACCAACTAATGACAACCTTAGCCTTCGGAAGCTTTCTTAAACAATTTTAGAAAAGGTCGAGGGTGTCTAACCTCCACTTGCCGTTGCAGAGACTGCACGTGGTTGATGATTTCATCCAGAACCAATGCAGTTCCTGATATCTGCAAAGCAAATTTTTTTCAAGTAAGATATTTAGTTACTTACTAGATTAACTACTATAGGAAAACATTAACACAATTGAAATGATGCTCCGCAGATCTCTGTCATGTAATTAAAGACTTTATAATCCAATGTAAACAATGTGAAAGTTATGACTTCACGGAAAAAAGTGCGAGTTATAAAACCAGGCAACTAGCCAATTAAAATAAATGTGATAGAACGTAGGGACACAGTCATTAGGCCACAATGAAGACGTTTCAAGCTATGAAAAAAGGCCCCATGCGGATTACTGTTTCCCTTTTATTCTGAAACGTCTACAGACTTAGCTGCTCAAATAGCAGTTAATATCTTCAGAAAAAAGTGTGCGCCAAATTTATGCTGTAAAGTCACCATTGTCCATTAATGTATCCCATTTTTACAACTCCCTAAAACCAGATCCCTTTTCATTTCAAAATATTATGGAGGATGAAAACTGGAAACCTAAATTCAGGAGATATTCTTGTAGACTCGTGGATTAAATCAAAGACCGACATTAATTCAAGTCAATTTGGTGTCTTGAAGTTGAAGTCTGTGTTGCGTACAACACTTGAATTATCATGAATTATCATCCCCCCTGGATAAACTCCAGGAGTAATTCTTAAAAGCATGTACGAAGCAACAACAAATATCAGAGGCTGGACGCTGATAAATCATGTAGCACCCAAGCACCAAGTCAACCTCATACCCCAACAGGATGCCCCCCCCCCCCCCAACCCCACCACCTAGATGACATTCATTTAACATGTTCAATGTTCAAGCCAGTTGGGTCAGCCGTTAGGTAGATGCACCAAAACAATACACTGTTTTCTCATATTCTTTTTCGTCATCTCATAATGATGCATACCGAACTCGGGGATAATGGCACCATCGCAAGATGAGATTAAAACCTCAATTATAAGGGGGACCCACGGATACGAGTTTCAAGTTTCAACATGCCAACAATATGCGTCTCCCAAACGTTAAAGCCAGAATAACTCCAAGGAAAAGCCCCTCCACCATCCCACACGCCCACCTTCCTGTCTCTTCAAAATGCCAAGAAGACGGAGAAAGGCAAGAAAGGGATTGCCTCTTCCAGCATATCACATGACGTTTTTTTTTTTTTGGTCATATTGGAAGAATAATCACAAGTTCGTTTAAAAAATTGACTGACATTCGCGATATTCTTGATGTCAATTATGATACAAGTTTATCCAAAAAATGACAAACATGCAATATTCCTTCCTTATGTAAATTTTTCTACAGGCTATGAACAGCTAGTTTCAGATTCACGTCCAAACTTGGAACCTCAAAGTTAGAGAAACCTGTCAATGGAGACACTTTACTACCTCCTACAGCAATACCACCCGGTGAGACCTTGGATAAAATGACCACGGGCCCAACACTTGAGGACCTCAAAAATAAAAAGGCTATTAAAACTATTTTTATTTTATTGTTTTGAAAACTAATATTTTATAAAACATATTTTGAAAACAAAAAAATTAAAAATAAGTATTTTTTCATTCTCCGTTATTTTTCAGAACAATAATCCAACACCTAAAAGTTATTTTCATTTTTTTTTTTTTTCAAAAAATAATATTTTGTTTTTTTTTTTAAAATATATTTTGAATTGTTACCAAACAAAGTTTTTTTTTTTTTTGTCTTGAAGAACAGAAAATTGTTTCCAAGTTGTCAAGTAAGCCCAAAATGACTACTTTAACCTCAGAAAGGACTTGTAACCAATCTCCCAAAATGCAATCCCAGGGAGTACGCGAAATTACATAAATGCCATGTTCAGACCCACTAGCAAGAAGTGGGCACTTTTCTTAATGTAAAAGCAAGCATTTTTTTTGGGTGAAAAGGTGACAATGACAAGAACCGTTGTTTAAGACATAATTGCACTTTTGGGAGACAAATTAGTCAGATAATAATGGGCATTACGGAAAATTAATAAAGCTTAATTAATTATTCCTGGGAACCGAGGATTAGTGATACTGAAGGGACCGACCTTATTGCAGCCAGGGACCAGCTCTTGCAAAAGCTTCATCCGAGCATTTATCTTCTCTCTCCTAGCCTACATAATTTGATAATAAAATTAGTTCATTAAGGAAATTTACTTTGGTGAAAATAAATTTTGACAAAAAAAAAAATAATGAATGTGATTAAATTATTGATTAGTGGTTAATGAAGAGATTAGTCAGATTACCCTTTCTGCTAAGCTATGGTTGTCTGTAGCTTGACCTCGACGAGCTCGGACATGAACGTAGGGAAGCTTTTCAGCTTCCCCGGAAGCCTCGTCGGCGGCTCCCTTACTCTTCTTTGAGGAACCTTTAACCTGTTTTTACAGACTCCAAAATTACTCCATGTTTTCAGCACTAAACTCACTCAAATTACCAAAAACAGAAACCCTAACTCTCGATTTATAGCAATTAAGGTACCTTCTTCTCCCGTTCCTTCCTCTTTGCGGCCCTCTGGTTCTGGTTCTCAACGGTGGGATCAGAAACACAGCCCTGCATTGAACAAGGATTCGAATCGGTTTCTGGGGGCTCATTCTTCACTTTATCCAAATTGGCACCCGAATTAGGTCCAACCAAGCTGGAATCCTCAGGGTGGGAGTTTTCCCCGGCAAATACAGAGAATTTAGCAGCGCGCTCGATCAAAGTGGCGTTAGCAGGAAAAGTTAAATTGCCACTGAACGAGTGGAAAAGATAGGGTTTCTGATTGTTGATTTGGCACAGGGACTTCGCAGACGCGCTGCCGGGAGCGGCGGTTCCACAGTCCGGCGAGTGAAGGAGCTCCACAGCTTGCGGTGGCGGGAGTTCGAGAAGTGCAGTGAAGGAGCTCGCGTTTTCAGGGGGCGGGGCCATGATTCTCTGAATTTCTTGGTTAAATTGGATGGATTCGAGCGCGGTCTTATTGTGCTCACGAACAGCAAGACCGGATCCGGGCAGGCCTCCTGTAGTTTGCTCCATTATTGCTCGCTAATGATCCAAATTGTAAGGAACAGAAGTTAATTCACCTCGAAATCTTCAGAAAGTCAAACAGCCGGATGATTAATTTGACTAACTATCAAATCTTATAATGTCAAACCAAAACATTCACTCCACGCATTGAGGGAATGGCGGCATTGAGCAGTGAGCGGGAGTGATGAAAGAGAGGAGGGGAAGGAGAAATGTGGAGGGAGATATAAAAAGAAGAGCTTCAATGGCAGGCCAATGTGGTGGTGGTGGTGCAGCGGGTGTGTCCCAGATTCTGTCTCGGAGATTGCTTCTGAGGCATTTGAAGTATTGGCTACGCTACGGTGGAGTATGGTGTGTTGAATTATACGGGACGGGGTATCTCCAATTCATACAAGTGGACGAGTATGCGAGTGATGGCAACTCTCCCCGTACGGTTCTGACGATACAATTCGTCGAGCAAAATCAAAAAAAAATTATCGGGGGACCACAAATTCACTGCCCTGCTCTGGTTTTCAACTTTCACGTTCAACGCCTCCGTTTTCATTTCTTTATATTATTCCGCTGCTTCGATCCCGTAAGATCCAGCCCCTTGCATGTCTCCATTAAATAATCCCCTTTGCCCTCTTTGACCTCATCATTAACCATTAATTAATTATTAATCCTGTTACTTCCTTCCATGCAATCGTAACCTCGCCATGAATTATTTATATGAAGAATCTAAATTTATAAAATTATAAACCTTTCTTCTGTGATCTCCCGCGCTTGATTTTAATTTAATCCCGGATGCCATTATCAAAATTAAGTTTATTGAAAATAAAATCTCAGAAGTAATCTAATGAGTCGAATGTTAAGTGAATAACAGGCGATGCTGAATGGGTAAATAGATAATGAGAACAATTATGAGATGACCGTCCGTGGATAAATGACTGCTAGAGAGGCCAGGAAAAAAAGAAACATAGTATTTGAACCGATGTTGTTAAAACACATAATTAAAAAAAAAAAAAGAAAGTGTAAGTAAGAGAAGTGGATTGGACTGTGTGAGAGCGAAGATTGGGCCGTAAAACAGTGGTTCGGTCCCATAGGTTGGGGACCGGACGCAAACGAAGGCCCGACAGAGTTGTTAATCGTAGGAGATGACCCGTCCTTTTCTCGCATTTATACGCATTCCCTTCTTCCTCTTCTACTGCTATTATTGTTCTTTCTCTTCATTTATTTTCCTTTTTTTAATTTATTTTTTAAAGTTTGCTCGATTGCTCTGTCAACGTCCAAGTGACCCCCAACTTGAATTACTTATTTGCCCCTTGTACATTTTGGATTAAGAAAAGAAAAGATGGCACGGCAGGAACGGGGTTCGAAAAAAAAAAAAAATGGTTTTTCCCAAAATGGGATGTTCTCAGCTTTTGCCTCAATTGGTATATTTCATCGACCACCCTTGGCAGCCCGGTCGCCATCTCTGCTTCGCATTTTCCTCTTCTTTTGATTTTTTTTTTTTTTTTGCTTTTCACCCTCCTATGTCCGTAGAATTGGGCAGGGGATTATGTGATAAACTGATAGTAGCAATTGTGCTGACAACTATTAGGACCACGAATTGCTAGTTTCACTTGTTATTCCTTCCGCACATCTTAGGTTTCCTTCTTTTATTCCGAACTATGTTCCCCAGCATTTTGGAATATCCCTCCTTATTAGAAAAACACCTCTGCTCTTACAATGCCTTGCATAATTGATGGCTCAATTATACTCTCCTGGAGTTATGTCATACCACTTTCATTTCTTTTCCCCCTATTGTTCTAAACATGTTCGCTTGCACTTTTGACGTTTAGACTTATAATTTCTCCATCTTTGACTTTTTTTTCTTTTACAATTTCAGCTGACTTTTTTCTTTTTTTCTTTTTTTAAGAGAATGTAATTGGTCGGAAAATAGAATTATAACCAAGTCATGCACTGATGGTATTGTTGTGATTACATACATATCTTGTATGGTGGAGTTAGAAAGAAAGCGCGGGGAGTGACTTTGAATTCTGCTCACTACTGCCTCTCCTCTTTTTCTTCTCATTATGGGCATTTTATATTATTAAGGCGAGGTTCGGACAGTTCTCCAATTGAATAAAAGCATTATTGAATCTGGTGCTTCCTCTGATGACCAATTCATCCTGCTCTGAAGTCTACACTACACACTACACCCCTCCTTCCATTTTGTACCTTCCCTACTCATTCACTTTCATTCATTTCTCTTTACCTAATTGCTTCCTCTTTTATCCTCCACTTACCTCTTCACTCTCATCCATCCCCTACTTCATATACACTTCCAATCAAACCACTCACAATTATACATACATACATATTGTGGTGTGAGCGCAATACAGCGTGAGCATCTGAATCAGGCATCAGGTATAATCTTTTTGTACCATGCTTTAGACATCAAAGTGAAGGACTTGTGGGGAGATGGAGTTAACACATTCAAGGGGTGGCAGAGAAAGGTGGGGTTGGAGTTGCTCCAGATACGCCTCAAGCGGTACTGCTCCCATAACATGCTAATCAATAATCAATAATAAGTGGTCCTGTGCCTCTTCACCATTTAAAAGCACCATGACTCATCAGGGCTATTAATTATTAATAACAAGCAGTAACCACTGTGTCTTGAGGGAAAAAGTATGCAGGCTTGCAAAGTTACAATACAGCTCCCTGTTTCAGTGCTGTCATTGCCCACCCAACCAACAACCCTCCCCTGCACGTACGTCTCTTAGGTCCGTTCCCATCCACAACCACTTCAACCAACAATCCTCTCTTACTCTTCTTAATCACGGCAGTGCAATAGGATTTATAAAATTAAGCCATAAAAACAGTATCACTATGAGAAAGTACTAGCATTTCATTCGACGTTCGAAATGATGTCTCATAACTTGTTAGTATTCCTGTAAAAACTAATAAAATTCGGGGTCACTCAAAAATCCTTCTGTCATGACAAAACAAAAGGGGGTGAACTCTTTTATCATATTTAAATTCGCGGAAAAAAGCAAGGGAGGTAAAAGTGGAAGGAAAAGGATGGGAGATGCATTAAAATTAGGTGGGGATGGGTGAAGTTTGTTAGGGGAGGTGATGGAAGACAGCATCCAGACAGGAGCTGACAAGGGGGATTGGGCCTGTTTCTGGAAGGAGACAAGGCCCATTAGGCCTGCAAAGGGCCTAACGTTGAGATGTGGGTCCACTCCTACGAGCTGAGCTGTAATGGACTTGTGTGTCTTCAATTTGTGCTGGAGATTCCCGTTCACTGCATGATATGATGGGAGACAGACGGAGGAGGTTGGTTGCTTCGTACTGGATTCATATGTTTGTGCTTCCACACTGATTGACAACCTTATAGGCCACTCCTATCCTATTCATCCAGTTTCACGGTTCACACCCCTCTGTAGAATGACCGACTTTCTTGTCTTCCCAATCTTCCACTCACAGCTTCTATAACTACTTCTCTCTCTCTCTCTCTTTCTCTTTTCGGGACTATACCCAAAAAATTGTGCAGTGATAGATATAAAAATGTGACATTCATGCTCACTTACTCTCGCTGGTGTAATTTCAAATTATGTTCACACGCAAGCTTCATCGTGCGCGCGTGCCGATTTCCTTCTTATTGTTGTTATAGTGTTTGCTTCGGCATATACTGACAACATTCTCATATTCTTCATCCGTTTTTTTAAGGTGGGGGGACTACAACACAAAGGCAGAACCACCAATAATGGATGATTGCGTGCGAGTAATGAACATTTCTTTCTTTTAATTTTTTTTTTTTTACAATCGTATTCTATTCCTTATCCTCATCACATGTTTATTTGATTGTTAATAGCTTCAATACGGTGAAGCGGCGAAAAAAGAAGACGCAGGAGAGTCAAGGCATAGATGAATAAGTAAGAGAAGCGATAGTGGAGAAAGAGATAAGTGGATAGGGTGATGAAGTTGACCAAATTCGCAACAGTTCTTCTTCCGGGGAGTTTTGGACCACAAAAGATCTCCTCATAAATTAGAATCCACCCCCACCCCTCTCTCTGCCCCCCCGGCTTCTTTTCTGTTTTTCTTTTTAATGCAGAAATTGAAGGAGAGAATGTCCTCTTCAGTGGGCCTGAAGGATTGTGCGGCCCACGTGAAGAAGGCCCATTATATCTCCGGAGGCAGTGAACTCACCGTACTAGTAAAGCGAAAGATAATGATAAATAGAAGACGATAATTTTACGCACCGGAAATCGTAGATTAAAAAGTTTTTCAAGACCATTAAGGAATGGGGAATCATTTGGGGGTGGAGAACAGTGGTGCGGGCAATTTGAGGAGGTGAGTGTAACAGACATGTTAGGCAACAAGCACCTGTAAAATAGGTAACAGACCACAGTACATATTCATCAAACCCAATCAAATCAAAGCGAAAGAGGCATTGATTCCATTCCGTGATAGGCATTGATTTCCCGGGTTGCAGCCTATTTATTGGTCATATTTTTTTATCAACGAAAAAGAGAATGGACAGAGGAACTTGGAGGGGGTAGTTTAGGGAAGAGAGAAAGACAGCTAGAAGCGGGGAGGATATTACAGAAAAGGACTCAAAAGGAGGACAGAGGGGGTGGGCCCCGGTGAAAAGGGCGCGGGGGGCAGGGCACATCAGGCCTTGATGATAATGGGCCCACAAGGGAGGACAAGGCCCAGAGACAGAAAAGGACCCAACATGGAAGAGGACGTCACTGAAGCAAATTGGGTAGGGCCGCCCACAACATCAGCCTTAATCAGCCATCATGAGACGAATGGGGCCCACCATCAATTATCAATTATTAATTATTGATTATTAAATTGTGAAAGTGGACGCACTGGGTAATAGCATTTCCACGCCGATGGAGGGAGAAAGTGTTGGGTCCTACTTCTCATGCCCTCCTCCCTGTTCCCCTCCTCATTTCACCCCCTCCCCCAAACTGTCATTTCCTCATACCTTAATGAATCTGAGGGGTTCACTTCACCTAACCTACACACATGATAACACCACTACGCTCGACATAATAAAAACATATTAAATAAATCATAATCAGTAACATGATCTGATCTTTAAACCATTATCTTTATCAATTCATGATCAATCTGGTTTTTTAAAATACTTCCCTATAAGAAACAACAAAGATTTTATTTCCATGTTGCCTTGAACATTTTTTAATACCAATAATGCCACAAACATTTTATGAACATAGTTTGCTTCAACATTCATGAAGAACCTTTAGGATATCATATACTCGTTTTCGCTTTTTAAATTAATTCACAATAATGATTTCCTGTAAGTTTTATATTATATATAGATAAAGAAGATTGTGTAGTAACAAATCATACATACTGTACATAGTCCACCTATTTCTAAATATACGTTTAGTATCATCCGGATCCGCTTCAACACTCAATTAACGATGGCTTGCCCCGCCTAAATAAGCTGTAACAGCAAAACGAGATGACATCGACTGGGAAACCACCCTCAGCCGGGTGCTTCGGGAAATGGCTCCTCACCTAACTCATCAAGTTCCTTCAGCGAGCGACGCCTATTTGGGCCTTTACGGTTTTTAAAAAGAGCCTAAGAAAAAAACGAAGTCCTATCTCAAGGAGGCCCAACCAACCCAACTTAATCAACTTCAAGTAAATGCCTCTTGGACGGAGGTATTGCGAGTCTATCCTCGGGCTTGTACATATCACCCATTGCGGCCTATGGTTTCCCAGGTCCCTTCGAAGCGAACCTGTTCCAGTAATAGAAAGCGTTTTAGGATTGCCATTCTCTCCCCTTTTAAAACTAAAATAAGACTGGCAGATTTGATCTTCATGGTAAGCCCACAAAGGCTTAAATTGGAGGTCCCGAGTACAAATACCAAGCACAAGTCCACGAGAGAGAGAGAGAGAGAGAGAGCTTTTCCAAGCTCGTCAAACCATAGCTGGACGTGACACACCTCTTCCTGGGAATTGCGATTCCGCGCCACCCAAAAAGCCAAACAAGCATCAGGAGCAAAGGTTAAGCGAGGCTTAAGAAGATCAACTTTTTTGGTCTGTGGGTTCCAAGAAAAGATCAACTATTTTTAACTGTGTAGCAGAAGTTCATGCATAGAGGTGTTTACAACATGTAACATTCTAAGGAATGTGACTCAGACAAAAGTACATATGCTGATATGCTTTATCTCTCCTTTATGGCTAACCATGAAAATCAGATGGCATGCTATTACGAACAAGGCAGCTTAATATTCATTCAAATGATGGCTGTATCCCGAGTTGCCAGTTCATTCAAGCCATCGACTAACAAATCCTTTTCTATGCGCAGTTGACTTCAACAAATAGTACAGATTGAATTCAAAATATCCACAAAAAAGGGACCAAGAAAAGGGTTAAGAAAAACAAGCAACTTACGGAGTGGTTGCTATATTGCTCAAGGAATGGTTACATGAAGATTCATCAGTCATCATCAAGGTCTAAATAGTATACAATAAATAACGTAAGCCTGCAAGGAAAAAGTGGCAGAAAATTTTTCCTTTAGATTCCTTGGGGGTGATATATATAGCCAGACATGAAGACCGTAGAATTAACCAGATACCAAAGAGTTATCCCCCAGAAAAGCAGCAAATGCTAGAAGAGGACCACAGGAGAAGGAAGGAAAACAGATCAAAATTGAATGGCAAAAGATAAAGCTACAGAATAAATGTCATCTATAGCATTCAAATATTCCATATTCAGAAATGGCTTATTAGAAAAAAGTTGTTCACATGCTATCCTTCACCAACCCTCAACACCCCCTCCCAACCCAAATATTCACAATCTTGAGATACCAACAACTGTAATGAATATGGCAGAAAATCTCACAAATATGTTCAAGGATCCATATGCCTACCAACCTGTCCCAAGATGGCAGGTCTTGAGAAGGCCTAGTCAGTGAGGTCTGAGTATGAAAATTTGTGTATTCAGTGATTCACATACTTTTTGACGTCATAATTAAGTTTGACATCAAGGGCAAGACCCAACTAAAAGCAGGGGTAGACAAGATGATTCAAGTTTTGCTGTCCTAGAGAAGCAACTAGAAAACTAAATGAATCACATTCTGATTTGGTGAAGTACAAACTGTTCTTTCACGAAGCCCCTGCTAAGTTCAGTCCCCCTTCACTACCACGCTATGTTTTAACTAAACCAATGGTCAGGCCAGGTCAGACCCCATGTAAATAACAAGATGACTAATAAAACTGCACTGAAACAAGATGACGCAGAAAAGGATGTGGCTAGATTAACTTTAATTTTGATGTTGTAGGTTGACATCACAGCCGATCCTAAAGGCAAGGTTGGGTGCACATTCTACACGTTTAATACCACCGCAACATGTAACTCTTCTTTCTTACATGCCATTAGTGACATCTGCATACACTATTACAAACTCATCAATTGTTTTGCATCCTGTATCCCATCCCTTAAGCATCATTTCTGCTCTCAATCAGCAAATTCTCTCTCTCACATCAAGATTATATCCACTAGTCTGAGAAAGAAGAAATCATATGCTTTCGGTTATCCTGTCTGATCTAGAATGCAGATTCTTAAAGATAATCAAGTTGGTTCGTACCAGAAAACCTTAGTTAAAAAAAAAAAAAAACACTTGAGAGTATGCAGGGAGAAATCACAAGTCGAAGTACAAAAGACCAGCGCGTGTAATTTCAAGAACATGACAAACCTGAATACAGTGATGAGAAGGAGAGATAAGTAGAAAGCAAGCTTAGCAATCCGATATTTCTTCTCAGAATTAAGTACCCTAAACACTTCAGTGACATCAAGGAGATGCTGCCTTTTCACGTACCTATGTCATTGAAATAAAATAATCATGACAAGGGAACATATGAATCCTACGACTAAACCCATATGAAGTGCCAGACAAAAAAAAAAAAAAAAAACACACACACACACGTAGCAATTCATTTCTAACTCAAATACTCAGCATTGTAAGTTCCTTTAAAGATTTCAGTGTTATTCAACCCAAATATAGTCAACATTTTTTTTATAGATTTCCAGGTAAACAAATTGAAACAGGAAGCTAGATGGCACGTTGAGCACAGCATCTTCCAGAAGCATCCAACCATCAAATAATAAAATGAGAAAAAACGAAAAAAAAATAATAACAATAACAAGAGAGGGAAAAAAAGACTTGGAAGCACAACAAGAAAAAAAGATAATCCTCCTAAAATAAAAAATCAAACTTACAGCATCACATGATAGCAAGTAAGGGGAACGGTCAACAAAAACATGAACCAGTGCCCTGTGAAGAGGAAGAGAGCACACAGTAGCCCCTGCCCAATAAACTCAGGAAGGACGAAGTAATTAATCCGAGATGAAGCATCATATGGGTTGACGTAATCAGCTTCCAAGTCCGTCAAGATCAAAAGCTAGAGCCAAAAGGAAAACGAAAAGAATTAACGTGAATCGTGTCTTGCAATCACACTGGCAACAAAATTCATCCTTTAGGGGGCAAAAAGAAGGAAATGGGGAGGAAGAGAAGAAGTTGGTAAAGTAAACAATACCTGGTAGAAAGTAGAGGCGAGGAGGGCAATGTTGAGAGGGAAACAGAATAGAAGCCAAAAGAGCAAAGTCCAACCCATCAAAAGAGAAGGAGCAGAACAGAAGCACGCAGATACCGAGTAACTAGGGTTTCTTAGAGGGAGACGTTGCAGACTGCAAGAATCCCAAATTCAAAACATTGAGGTTTTGGTACCCATTCAGTGGTTGACCCGAGATCTTGGTACCGTTCACCGGCCGCACTCTCCCCCTTCTTTTCTTTTTTTCTTCGTGAAAATTAGGAGAAAGGAAAAGACCTCATCAATAATTTAATCAGATGAAGGGGTCATATTCAAAATCTGCAAATTTTCTTCTACAGCCTGGAGTTTATCTTCAATGATTCTGCATTTTTTCTTCATTATTCTGCAATTTCAGTCCTTTCTTCCAATTAATTTGGTGATTAGATTCTTTTCCCTCTTTTTTCCTTTTTTTTTCAATTTATAAATTTCAAGGAATTATTTTTCTATAAAACTATTATTATTTAATATTATTTGATCAAATTTAAATATGGATAAATTGGCCCATTAATTTAAAAAAAAATTTATGTTCATAAAATATCAATTAAAATTTTAAAAATTTAAAAATATAATTGATTTACATTGATATGTAAAAAAATTATTATTAATATATGACAGTATATTATTAATAAATATAATAAATAAGTTATAATGTAAAATATAATAAATATTAAAAATTATATCTGCAAAAGCAATTTAGGATTCTAATCAAGATGGTTTTCTCAATATAATTTTCTTCTCATCTACAATATATATTTGAACTCTAAATCCTTTCCTATTAATCCAATTATTATCAACTTTTTTTTATTGATTCTGATATGGAAAACGCGAAAGGTCGGCTCATATAAGCTTTTCTTCTTTCTTTTCCGAACAACAGGTTGGCATAAACTTTTTGAAGTTAGAAGAGGAGTCCATCAATTTAAGAGTCATCGTTCATACGTGAAATTAGAACATGATACTAGTGCAGAATTACGGTCATAAAAAACGAGAGGACTTTGATTTTTTTTTTTCAATGATATGTTATCTCAGTTTATCTGAATTTGACCGAGGCTGGGATCATTATTTTGCTAAACAGGGATAGTTCATTAGTTTGGGTCGAAACACATTGCATGTTTTAGCTAGACGAGATATTTCTCCAGATTAAGAAATATGCTGCTCTATTCATGTGGAGAGAAGCCACACATGCGGGGTTTGAGACTCTGAGGTTCCATTTAGTGCGTCCCACTCACACACATGGTGTATTTGTGCCTTTTTGGAGCCCATCTTTCAAGACTGAATTTGAAGATGACAGGATCAACGCCTTCTTCGTTAGTTTTTCCTGGCCCCTTGCATCGACCAGACAGTGATTTCTATCTAGGTTCCTTAATTTTTGTTGGGTTTCAGCCACACGAGTTTATCAACAAGTGGACAGAAAGGTGAGTTAATCCTTAGTTGGATGTTATCATATTGTTGACGCTGTCATGATTTCATCACATGGGGTGGCGTTTTATTTTTTTTTTGGTTGATGACAGGTATATTTCAATCATGTTGTCTCTCTTGGCCGCGCTCCATGTACATATATAGTTTATATTTAAATAGAAACAGCAGCTTGGTAATCGTACCTGCAAATTTGTCAGGAGTGATTTAAAAAAAAATGTATGTTTGATAATGTAAGGTTGCTGCAAGTCACCCGCCAGATTTGTATCCTTTCAAGTGCAGCGTGAGCCCCTGAAATGCAGATTACTGGTGGGTGGGGAGTTGACCGATAAAAATGCCACGTTGGACTTTTATTGGACCTTATAAGTTGTAAATAAGGCCAGAGTCCACGAACCTAAGAACAGACGGGAAGTCTCATCACGTAAGCACGGGTCAACCAAGATACGAAGGCAAGCTGGCATGCCATTGAAAGAGAAGCTATCTCTACTATTTTATTACAGCCTATTTAAGTACACTGTACATGCTAGATATAAACATTTCTTCTAACAAAAATTTAAACTGAGTTTGTCACATTGTAAAAGATTAAACCCAATCCCTCTTAGCCTGTCTTTTTCTGTTTGTTTTTTTTTTGTGTGATGTTCTCATTTTCAAGATCATTGGATATAGTTAGTGTTTAGTTTGGGTCTTGAGGAATCTCATACGTGTGAAATTTACTAGGTTTTTTCTTGCTTGTTAGGCCTTAAAATAACCATCTTTAGGTTACTTTTGACAATTAAAAGAACTACGTGTTATTCTTAGCATATCTGTTTGAGGCCCAAAATTGTGCATTTATTTCTCAAGAAATTCAATTTATCTTCTTCGCCATAGTCCTTTTCCTACAAATACTCATGACCCATCAAAGCAGAGTGGCACCTTGCCTCAACCAAACCCATTTACACATAAAAGAAGCCTAATCAATGCTGCGGGCTTTCTGATGTCCCTCGTTCAAAATTAATAAAAATGTAAAAGCTATAAGGTAAATTTAAATAAAAATGAGAATAGCAGGTGTGAAAATCGCTAAGGATACAGGGCATTATCTAGGATTTCCTATATCTAATTCTGGTAAACTTGCTAAAAGGTTTAAGTATGCTGTTGATAGAGTGGAAGCTAAGTTGGCCAATTGGAAGGTAAATTGCCTTTCTATTGCAAGAAGGATTACCCTTGCTAAATCAATTATGAGTATTATTCCACTTTATCTTATGCAATTGGCAAATTTATCGATTTCGGTCTGTAATGCTACGAAGAAATTGCAGAAAATTTTATATGGGGTAGTAATCAAAGGCATAAGATTTATCATCTCATTAATTGGAAGATAGTCAAGAAGCCAAAATAGCTGGGTGGATTGGGTTTTCAAAATCTAATTTCCTTGAATAAGGCATCAGGTAATAAATTAGCATGGAACCTTCTCTCTAGTTCAAAGGGTCTTTGATATGAGGATTTGCAACATAAATACATGCTGACTAATGAGCATGATCTTTTGACTGCCGAGAAGGGGATCCTCTCCTTTGGCATTTCATTTGTGAGCAAAAAGAATTTGTGAAAAAAGGAACGAGATGGCAAGTTCAGAATTGGCATTCTGTTAATTTCTTTGTTGACATTTGGTTGATGGAAAATATAAAAAAAAAATCGACAATTTCTGTACTAAACCCTTATCAAACACGAGGATGCTAGTAAAGTGGTTGAGTGTGTGAAGTATGGTATGTGGGATTTCTCTAGACTTGAAGAGGTGGTGGATAATTCTGTTATTCAACACTTAATAGCATCCTTTCTGCCTGCACACTATCGACGTGAAGATATAATGTCTTGGGGTGCTAGTCCTACAAGTACTTTCACTCTTGAAGTGCGTGTGATTTAATTGAAGGATATAACGAAGCTTTGTATAATCCCCTATACAAGAGGATTTAAAGGTGGAGAGGAGCTGACAGGATTCATTTTTTTCTTTTAGAAGCTTTCTTAATAAGTTACCAACCAATGTCCGAAGGCATCATTGGGTTAATACTTCTCCACTTTATGACTGGGGTAAAAATGAGGAGGAAAATACCCTGCATATCCTTAGAGATTGTCACTATGCAGATCAGTTATGGCGCAAACTTGTAAACCTAATGTACCATTTATAATTCTTTTTTTTCATTTCTTGAGAATTGGTTTGATATGAATATGAAAAGACAGCCGGGTCTTATCCTTGCTACTAATTGGGATCTAGCATGGGGTGTTGCTATTTGGAAGTTATGGATTTAGAGGAATGACTTCATATTTAAACATAATTTTTGTAAATCCTCTGATCCTTCCACTATCATAAGCTATATTTGGAAACATTTTGTTCTTTAGGCTGAACATTGTGATGTGGGTATTTGGACCTCTCCTCCAAATCAATGATTTAAATTCAACGTGGATGGGGCAGTGTCGAGGTTTGGCAATAGAGCATCCTCTAGAGGTTTATTACGTGATGAAAAGGGTAACTAGGTTACAGGTTTCTCCCACCACATTGGGTCTTATTCGGCTATGGAGGCAGAGCAATGGGCCTTACTGAAGGGGCTGCTTTTAGCATCTGATTTGGGCTTCTCTAAGGTAATCTTTGAGTCTGATTCTAAGACCCTGGTGGAATCTTTCCATGTGGAGGATAATTCCAAGTCAAGGGAAGCATCATGTACATGGAAATTAGAGATTTTTTAAGAGCTCGGGAGGATTTTCATTTAAGCTTCATTCCAAGGGAAGCCAATGGTTCTACAGATATGTTAGCTAAACATGATTTGTCAATTTCTAGAATTTTTGATTTTGCCCCTATTTTCTCATGGGCTGTGATTCAGCATGATGTCATGGGATTAAATTCCCAACCTCTTTGATTTTTAACTTTGGGCTAGTTCCCTCCTTTGTTATTAAAAAAAAAAAGAGTTGAGTTTAATGAAAAGTATTATGTGATAAACTAATGATTTAAATCCTCATTGAAAGAGGCACACGCATTTAGTACCTAATTGTATTTCGAATAGGATTATCTCTAATAGCATACATGTGGAAAACCCAAAAAAAAAAAAAACAATAAAGCTTCAGAAAAAATAAAATTTACGGTAGACTATAGACTTGTTTGATTTCTGTTTTTATTTTTTATTTTTAAAAAATTTTTTATAATACAATTTTTAAAATTGTTTTTAAAACAAAATGAAATAAAAATCCGTTTGATTATGTTAATTTAAAAATAATTTTAAAATTAAAAAAAGACTGATAGTGATGGTTATAGGTAATTAATAATAGTAATTTATAATAGAAATTAGTCAAGATAACTATAACTTTTAATAATTAAATTTAGTACATTTTTAAAAAACAAGAAAAATAAATGAAAACAATTTGAAATTGTTTCTATTTTTTAAAAATAAAAATAATTTTAAAAATAATTAAAAGGAAAAACACTTATCCAACAAGCTTTTAAATTTTTCTGTTTTCAAACATAAAAAAAATTTTTAAAAATAGAAAACAAACAAGACCTATATCACTACAAATCTATAGCTGGAAGAGAGTATATTAAAGGCTTTTACAATTCATGGCTGTACTGTTCACAAATTATGATTAATACTTCCCATTTCCCAAACTTCATATAAGAGAAAAAAAATAAAAATAATTTTAAAAACAATTAAAAGAAAAAACACTTATCCAACAAGCTTTTAAATTTTTCTGTTTTCAAACATAAACAAAAGTTTTTAAAAATAGAAAACAAACAAGGCCTATATCACTACAAATCTATACCTGGAAGAGAGTATATTAAAGGCTTTTACAATTCATGGCTGTACTGTTCACAATTATGACTAATACTTCCCATTTCCCAAACTCC